TTTTGTTTTTTTTTTTTCCTTCATGCCTTCGGGAATTTCAGGATTTTTGGCTTGCGGGATGACAGTAGCTTCCCATCCGTGCTTTGGCGGGGCTGCGCCATTCCCGCGTGTCCCGCGCTTGGCGGCTTCGCAGGGCCTGGCAGCGGGGGCCTTATGAGGGTGTCCCGAGGGCACCTCGCCGCTGCTCAGCACCCTGCGCCGCTCTTGTTCCCGCGGGGGCTGCGGTGCCCTGGAGGGGAGGGAAATGCTGCGATCGGCCCTGTCCTCTCCCGGCGCAGCGGCAGCCCTCACTGCTCTTATTCCGTGTGCTTTTCCATTTGGGGAAACAGGTGTTTTTGTCAGAAACATCAATTTGGGTAGCTTTTGCTTTGATATACTTCTGATGGGACGTGAAATGCCCCATTTGAAGGATGCTGTGCAAGGAATGCACACGGACAATGTGTCCATCGAAACTGACTGCCTTAAGCAAACAGCAGAGTTTCTGTTTGTGTTTTCCTTCTACCGTTGCTGAAGTTGTGTTGTGAACAAACATTTGCTAGCTAGGATCTGCAATCAAGACTCCAAGCACATATTCCCTCTTAATACCTTTGAAATTGGGTTAATTATGCGTTAAAGGCATTACTTCGTGCATCAGCTATGGAGAAAATGTCAGAAATTCTTACAGGTTTGCACATTTACGTGCAATTTCTGGCCAAAATAGCCTAACCTGTGCTTGCCATATCCTTGGATACTGACCTTTAAACCCATCTCTCTGTTGCAAAGTGTTACTGAGAGATGATGAGAATTGATGCTGCAGCCTGACACTATTGCAGGTTTCTAGTTCTTTAAACCTTTGCCTCATGCCCGGAATGCTCGGCAGGGTGTAAGCTGCGTTTTGGGACAAACCTCAGAGCGCCCCATGTGTTTCTGCTCGCTAACCCTCCCTGATGTCACGCAGTTCCTCTGGCAGGTGCCTGTGCATTGCTCTCCATCTTCCCGAGCTGGGAGACCCGTGGGATGCCTGGATGGGTCTGGGCAGTGGCAGAGGGAAGGATGGATGAACCCCAAGTTATTTCAGCTGCTGGAGGAGCAGAGCTTCACCCGCATGTGCAGCTTCACATCCCTGTGCGGCTTCCCCCACGCGCAGAGGCAGCCCAGCGCCTCGCAGCGGGGCAGGAGCTGCCCTTCTGACTTGACTGCCACAGGGCCCTTGCTGGAATGAGCAAACTGGGGAAATCAGGGCCGGGCTGCGGTACAGAGGAGTGCTGACTACCGCCCTGGGGCAGGGAGGTCGGAGCACGCGGCAAGGGGCAGCAGCGGCGCGTCCCGCCGAGCCAAGGGCAGGTTACGCGTCGGCGCGTTTGCCGAGGAGGCAAAGGCCCTTCCCTGCTGTCCTTCCTTTGGTATTTGTGTGATCTGTGTTTCCGGCGAGGCAGGAGGTCGGGCTGGGCTGCTGGGCGGCGCCGTGCTGGCAGCCCGTGTGTGTGGGGCAGCCCTGTGCTCGCTGGCACCGCCGCCTCCGCGTGCCGGCCCTTTCCGCTCCCTCAGGTGTGTTGGGAAGCGCCTCCTGTGCCTCCCGAGCCCTTCCGGCTGCCTCTGCAGCTCCTGCAGCATCTCCTCAGCGCATGTGGCTGCCTGGATTTTTCCTTGCCCTTTTGTATCTCAAAAAGCCTCCTCCTCTCGGTAAGGAGGACAACTGTGCACCGTCCCTGTCCTATACCAAAAGGTTTTAGCAATGAGACCTGGAGGCTCCAAAATCTGGTTTTTGTAGTGTGGTCTGCTGCATCCAGGCTGGATTGCTGGACTGCCAGAATTGCCTTTGGCTCAGCTATTGTAGCCATATGCTGCTGTATAGTCATGCTGCTTAGGGGATTTAGAAATGACAAGATTAAATGACTCGGGCCTTGAAAAAGAAAAATCTGGCTTATGATTCAGACGTGATGACTAGTCCTGCATGAGCTCATTTACCCACTCCTGGTTTGTAAAAGCCAAATCTGAATTAACTGTTGGTTAATGATTTGCCTGATATAAAAATAGTTTTTCAAATATGCTGTGAAATGTCAGAATAACTTCACTCAAAATAAATAACATCACTTAAAGCTTACTTTGAAGAAGCTTCTAAGTTGAAGATTAGCTGGTTTATGACTTCTTGCAATTGTTTTTTTTGTTTAAAAATGTTACGTTGAGTGTAATCTTTCTGCTCCGGAGCCAGCGGAGGCCGGGACGGCAGCGCGATGTCTTCAACGCGTGCCGCCAGCTTCCGCGTGCGGCGAAGCCGTGTTGGGGTCCAGCCTGTCTGTGTGCGTTGGATGCCATGAGACATCCCTTCCTCCGAGCCCGCGGATGGGCCCGGGCCTCGGCCGGTCGCTGTGGCAGGACCCCGACCCGCGTTGCAGTTCCCACCTCGGCCGCTGACTCCCGCCCTGGGGCAGGGAGGTCGGAGCACATGGCAAGGGGCAGCAGCAGCCCGTCCCGCCGAGCCGAGGGCAGGTTACGTGTTGGCGTGTTTGCCAAGGAGGCAAGGGCCCTTACCTGCTGTCCTTCCTTTGGCATTTGTGTGTTCTGTGTTTCCGGCGAGGGTGGAGGCCAGATTCGGCAGCTCCCAGCCCCATTGCAGTCTTTTAGGAAGAAAAATAGCAGCGTTCCCCTTTTTGCGTGTTACTGGTGCTACTGGTGATTAGGTGGTGGTTGCGCTAGGTCTGACTGCTTTTGGTAAAGTTTTGTCTCTTAATATTAACATTGTCTGAAGCATCATGCAGGATTTTGCTTCTCAGAGGCTTGAATCTTAGTGCTTTAAGCACCGAGAACCGTATTGGCTGTCAGTGGATTCAGGGTACGTTTGACTGCACTTTTGTAAGCAGCGAATGTGACCGAATCTCTGTGGTAAAACCTGAGATTGCAAATGTCAGATAAGCTGCATGTCGGTAGGTCATGAATGTCCTGCTGAGCGGCCTCGTTTCCGCCAGAAACATTTTCATTGCAAGGGAAGGGATTGGAGTGAAAAGCAGCTTCTGTGAGCTGTCTGCTGTGGGTGCTTATGCAGCTGTTTCTCTTTGGAGCCTTTCCAGGGAAACAGCCACTACTGATCCACAAAATGTGTTGTTTCATCACATTTTGTGGCTATCTCGCATTGCATCACATGTAGCTCTGTCATCAATAAGCGCTTGCCTGTATCTGTGGAGGACATAACCCCGTGAGGCTACCCACCTTCATCCTCGCTGGGTCTCTGTGACCTTTGGTGTCACCCTTGGTGGCCTCTGCCGTGGCCATGGCAAGTCCCAAATCCTTGATGCCGCGTTTGGCTGCAGGAGGGTGCCCGAGCAAATGGAGGCGGCGCCTTTGCCATGGAAAGGCAGCCTGGCCTGGTGTCGGCAGCGCCCGTGGCGGAGGAGCTGAGCGGCACAGGCAGGCGGGGACACCCTTTGCACTCATTTCCAGGGGCAAAACCTGTAGGCTTTGACTGCAGAATGGTGGTTTGGGTGCATTTGCACACAAGGTAAAGGAGGTTTGGCAAATGGCTTGAGATGTCTGGTGTGCATTTCCCGGCAGAGCAGGCACGGTGCAGTGTCCTCCGGAGCAGGTGTCTGTGTCTGGTCAGCTGCTGCTGTGCCAGTCCCTAAGGTTCATCTCCTCTTTCCACCTCTGAAACAACTGAAAGACGGAAATGAGGAAATTTTGACCTTCTGGCGTGACATTCTTTTCCAGAACCTTGTTGGGAGCGAGTCAACATTGAACAATGTTTTGCTTTCCAGGATTCACTTAGTGACTGTGCACTGTGGGCAAGAGAAGAGCGAGGGGTTTCAGCTCCGACAGCCGCGGTGTCGTACGCTGAGGCACCCCGGGGCTGGCCTGTCCTTGGCTGTGCGAGGCAGTGCGATCTGGTGGATTCTCCCCTCATCCACTGGTGGGGCATGGAAATGCCAAGAGCCCTGCCTTTGTCACGGGGAACAAGGAGATTCCTCCATTTAGTTATTAAACGAGTGACACTTTTGTGACCACGTAGGTCGTGCCAGCGTGTGCGCTCTGCACACACGTACGGTGCGGGGTTTCCCAGAATGGGACACGGAGGCCTGCAGGCTGCCAAGGGCACCGTGGGACTAGCAGGACGAGTGCCCCCGGCCGCCTGCCGCATCCCCTCTGCTGTGTATAACGCTTGATGCCGTCGTGACGCTTCCCCAGGCTTCCTTGCCCAAGGAACCTGCCTCCTGCACGCGGCCCTTCCTGTCCGAGCAGGAGTCCATGGGGACGGTGCGGGAGCTCCTCCTCAGCCCAGCTCAGCAGCTGTTGCTTTGATTAACTCATGGACCCTGCAAAGTCAGGTTAGCCTTTGCCTTTTTGGGTAAAGCTTTGGCAGCGCTGCGGTGGCTGAGCTGTGAATGGCGAGGGGGGTGGCAGGAAGTGCTGGGATTTGCCTGGCGCCGCTTGCGAGCCTGGGGGCACCGATCCTTCCAGGCCTGCTCATGCCCTGTCCTGCTCTGTGTTACACTGCAAGAAATGAACCCCAAGGGCAGCCCCTGGCGAGCCAAACGTGTGGGGTAACAAGAGGTGAGAGTTATTCAGGCTCTTCCTAGAACACCAGCGAGAGTTTCTCTGTACTCCAGCGAGCGCAGAGCTGGGGAGGGAGGGCAGTGGGGTGCCGGGGGTGCCCTCCCCTTCCTTCCTTAATAAATGTAGGGACCGAGGCACGGGCAGAATCACTCTTGCAACGGCTTCGTGCCAGTTTTGACCCCAGGAGTTTCAAAAGGGATGAGGACGTGCCAAGAGCAAGCTCTGCATCGAAGGGAATTGTCTTTAATAAATCAAAGAACAAACGGTTCCCAGACATAGATAAATATGTTTATGGAAGGTAACCATGGATGATAGCAAATATACAGCCATTTTTCACTGGGTCTCTAGGCAATTGGGAAGATATTTTGTCAATGGTGATAGGAGCTGGGGGAGGACTGAATCCTCCTTAAAATGTTAGCCTAGTGTGTTGCAAGTGCCTCCTGGTGCTCTGCAATGTTTTCTGGGTAGGTTTTATTACTTGGCAAGATCCCCTATGACTAAATCTCAAAAGGCTTCTTTTTAAAAAATGTTGCATTTATTTATGTGTAATACAGTTTGAGTTTGCTCGTGCAAAGAAAAAAAAAAAAAAAAAGGCCATGTATGGCCTTTATTTGTAAAAGGTTTCTAACCACTTGCCAAACACTACTGGGTGGAAAGCTGTGTAGCTGCGGAGACAGCCTCTTCCTTGTCCGAACACGCAGTTCCCATGTTAATCATAACAAGTATGTGCAGAAAAGAGCTGACCCAGGCCCTGCCAGTAATCCTGCTCTGCAGCTGGGACAGCATCGGAGCTCCACTTTCTTCCTGTGTGGAACTACTTCCACCGGTGTTTTCCTAGTATTTAGCATGCAGTGAGGAGTGTTCTCCTGAAACTATGAATCATCTCCTTTTAGGAGGAAAAGTGGAGGATAAGGCTAAAGTAACAAGCTAGCTTTAAATTATTAAATATCTTTAGTCAACAAAACATTTAAAACAACATCACCTCACAGGAACTTTTCTTTCAGTGATTATGTCACTGCTTTATTTGAACACATTACTAAGTTGGAAACAGTTTGCAGTTTTGTGACTGAGTTGGACAGAACTCAGTTTTTCCTTGCTTTTTAGCCTGTGAAAACTTACAGCTTTATACCAGTCAGTGATCTAGGCTATTATATTCAGGATATGCCCTAGTTTAAAGAAGAGAGTCACTAGTAATATAGGAGTAATAGCTTATCGTAGATTTGTCTAACAAGCCTAGCAAATGTGCACCAGTTTCCTCTTTCAAACAAACAAACAAAAAAAGATTCCACTAAGATCACTTATTTCATTTCCCTTTCCTGTTATGCTTGTTGTAACCCTACTAAGCAGTTTTGAAAAGCCAAATGTAGTCAAATTGGAACCATCCAGGTAGGGAGGCTAAAAAAAGTGCTTGGGCTTTTGCTGTTTCTCTTTTCACATCTTGTTTTTAGGAGATACATTTATGTCTGTGTGAAACATAGGTTATCCTCTGTTACAAAATACCTGACCACCACACAGCAAACAAAATTCAGACATCTATGAATTTGTTTATTGGATTTGTAATGTTTAACCTGTCAGTAGCGTAAGTCCAGCAGCATATCAAGTTATACTGCTAGAAGTATGTGGGAATCACTTCCGAGCTCCATGTAAAAGTCTCTCTCTCCTTTGGTAGTGTTTAATTATCGGAGGCGGCCCGTGTGGTTTGCGGACTGCCATAGAGCTTGCCCTGCTCGGAGCCAAAGTGGTGGTGGTGGAGAAGCGGGACACCTTCTCGCGGAACAACGTGTTGCATCTCTGGCCCTTTACGATCCATGACCTCAGGGGACTGGGAGCAAAGAAGTTTTATGGGAAGTTCTGTGCGGGATCTATTGATCACATCAGTAAGTATGCGGGGGGCATGGGCACCGCTCCGCCAACGGGAGCGGAGTCGTTGGGAGATTAATGGAGACTGCCTTGCCCTGGCAGGAAGATTTTTTGCCTTGCTCAAAGTACAAAAAAAAAGTGGACTCCTTCATTTAAGCCAAATAACGATTGGGCAAATACCACAGTCTTACAGAGCAGCAAGTGGTGTTTAGGAACACGCTTTTTCTTACCTTTTTTTGTTAATCTGGGCTTGTGTTTTTTTTTTAAAAAAAAAAGTTATCCTTTTAATCAGAAATATGCAAAAGTGTGGTAATATGCAAGGAAATGATTTTCATACCCTGGAAGAATTCTCTATCCTAAATGACCAACATGTTGGGCATGCAGTTTGTTTAAATATTGTTAAAAGGGAAAGCTCCAGAAGTGTATTCTAAGAATATTGTTGAAGTAAATTTTATCCCCTAGGAGATTATGTGCAGCAAAATCCTGGGTTGGTTGCTTCGTTTTCATTCCTCACCCTACAGGGAATAGCACTACCTGTTTTTGTTTACATTCGATATCAGCTGGTATCAACTATGCTTGCTTGTGTATTAAATATGTCTTTGTTACTATCCACAGGTATTCGACAGCTTCAACTTATCCTCTTCAAAGTTGCACTAATGCTAGGAGTTGAAATCCATGTGAACCTAGAATTTGTAAAAGTTGTGGAACCTCCTGAAGATCAAGAAAACCAAAGTACTGTTTATCGTAATGTGAAAAAGAGCTTAAACAGGAAAAAAAAAAAAGTCTTAAATGCCTCTCTCTACGCACACAGAGTAACTTGTTTTTATAGCAGGTCTTCTATGAAACCATTCTAGTAGTCGAATTATGTTCAAAAAAAGAGACCCACTGGCCCTTCCCAATTCAAGCCTGCTGTATGATAGGCATGATAAGTATCATTGTGACAGTGCTCTGATAATACTTAAGAAAAAATACGTACTTTTCAGGCTGGCCTGAGAAGTGAGGTTTTGCACTATGCCTTCTGGCATGTGTGTGAGGCGCTCCAGGGAGTCTGGTGTGGCTTTTTGGTATCTTCTTGCAAAAACATTTTTTTTATTGGCAATATAAATATTGAGGATAGATTTAAGTGTTCTGTTCCTTGTTTTGCCTTTGTACTTGGTAAAACTCCCTCTGGCACATGGAGTCTTATTAGCTCTCTTTTGCAAGATTCTTATAAAATAGATAAAGGTTTCATTTCTGTTTTTTTTTCAGGATTAGATTTGGGGAATAGTAGTAATAAAATAGTCTGAGATTTTACTTTAAAATAGTATGTAATTTCTTGTTAAGGATTCATTTAGTAACAGTAGAATAATATATTATCATAAGTAGCTAAAGGATAAAAATAGTTTCTAAATATGAGCAATACAAGCACTTTCAGATTATCTGTCCTTTGTTAATGCAAAAAGTAAATTTAGCCTTATAGGCACATTTCTTTTTAATTTTTATTTAGAAGATGGACTTTAAAAGTATTGACAGTGGAATACTGTTTTTTCCTTTCATAAAACCCACCCTTTCCTTGCTATAAATGCATGCACTGTCCTGTTAAGGTCATTCTGGGGCTATTTCTATAAGAAAGAAGTGCTTAAGTTTATTCTTGTGATATGGGTCTTAGAGGAAAGGTAGTGCCTTCAGTGATCCAAAGGAAGGCTTCGCTTTTTTTTTTCTTTTTTTTTTTTTTTTGTTGTTGGCCTATGAGCTTAGCGCCTCACTAATGCCATCCGCCTGCCTGCCGCTTTGACTCTAGCCTCTCCCCATATGAGGTAGAATTCAGCTCAGTTTGAATGAAAAATTGACCATTTACACTAATACCCTTTCTTCAAAGTCTGGTTGCACTACTTCATTGTGTTTCTGAAGAGTAAATAAGCAAATAATCATCTTTGTGTTTTTAGAGATCGGCTGGAGGGCAGAATTTCTGCCAGTGGATCACCCTCTGTCAGAGTTTGAATTTGATGTTATTATCGGTGCAGATGGCCGCAGGAATACACTAGAAGGTAGGTGGATGTGTACTCTTAGCCTTAATGATGGTTTTTTAGGCCAATTTGGAAGGCCTGAAAGTGAGGGGAGAATAAAAATGCAAAAAGCTGCCTTTTACTCTAGAAATGTAGGTGAGAATTATTTCTTATGTGGTGTCTCCCACTTTTGTTGTTGAAAAGCTGATTCTCAGCACTGTATCTATTTATACTGCTTCCAAAAGGCATTGTGGTACCATTAGGCTTGCTTCAAGGTTAAATAACAACACGAGGACTTGACTTGATGGGGAACTACATGTTCATTGCTGCTGTGCCATGAGTGTGGGCTGTACGTCTGAAAAGGGGACTTCCAGGTACCTAATGAAGTATTGCTCTTGAACGGTGATCGTTACTTTCAGAAGAAGTTACTTAAGTAACAATTCCAAAAGATACTAAGGGAAAAAAAATCCTGCTTCTTTGATGGGAGTTGTCATGGAGATGTCTGGCAACCCAAGCCTCTTGGTGAGCACAGCGCTGGCTGCACCACTCCTGTGTCACAGGAACAAGCTGCCACTTAATTGTATATTCTCCCTCAAGCTTTATTTCTATCCATGTTATTTTCTTTTCACTAAATACCCAATTTCCCCTTTTATTAGCTTTGTCGTTTGTGTCTGCTTATTCTTCTGTCTGCTGAAAAACACTTGGTATTATTATATACTTGGTATTAATTTCTTATAATGCTCTCTTTAGAAAATATTCCTCAGACTACTTAAGTCTAGGCATCTATTAAAGCAAAATTAGTCATTCCTTGGCTGCAAACTCTGCTGGGAGGGTTGTTGTCATATCAGGGTCTAGGGAGTTTTGGTGGACTGAGGACTGTTTACACACAGAAGCTGGTGTTGTCATTGTCAAATTTATCCCAGTGAAATAGTGAAGCTGAGGCTCACCTGACTAGCCAGAGCATTTCAAGAAACAGAGAAAAATTCATAATTTATTTGATTTACAGAAATCCTTGCATTCTCTGAAAAGTCATCTGCAGTTTGGTTTAAAAAAAAGAAAAAAACAACACCTCTAAGGACCATGTGTGTGTCTTCCCTTTTCACCGAAGTGTAAGGGGAATACAGAGATGGGAACACCATTAACGTGTGATCGCTGGACAGGGCGTAGCATGCTGTTTTGTAGGGGGGGCAAACAAGGCAGCTAGGAGGGCCCAAGCAAACAAGTGGTTTAGCATGCCAGGCTGCATCAGTCTCATGTTGCAAGTATAAGAGTTAACCTGCAGAACATTTTTTCAGAGCCTCAAAGTCTCTGAAAACCATTATAAGCTGAGAGTGTGTGCATCTAGTATTAATGTGTAACTTTGTATTCTTCATTTTTTTCTGCTGCTTTTGACTGTTGCCTTTTGCATATTTTTTTTCAGAAATCTTTTATCATCAATGTACCAAAATTCTCTAATTTGTTAAGCAGTGTGGTTTAGAAAGTGTGCCTCCATTGGCTTTCATCTGCACTATTTCTTGTCTTTTTCCTCCAGTCATCACTTGTCCCTTAGTTGCTGCTTAAGTTCAGATAGTTCCCCTCCAGAGATCCGTCTCCTGTGTTTTTAATTCTTGCTGTACTTTGCTTACCAGGTTTTAGAAGGAAGGAGTTTCGTGGAAAGCTGGCTATAGCTATCACTGCCAATTTTATAAACAGAAATACGACCGCAGAGGCCAAGGTAGAAGAAATCAGTGGTGTTGCTTTCATCTTCAATCAGAAGTTCTTCCAGGACCTAAAAGAGGAAACAGGTAGGTGGATCTCACTTTTTCCACAACCAAATCAGAGACCAACTCTTTATCTGCCAGGCCACCCTGCCATTCCTACTAACCTCAACTTAAATCATTTTTTTCAAGTACTAAAATGCTACTGATTTCAGAATCTTGCAGAGGGAGATGTGTGTGGTACAGTAGAAGTTTCTTTTAGACTGCACATTGCCACATCATAGCTTGTTTTAATGTTTACATCTTTCTGAAATGTAAAAATGCCTGATATATCCAACAACTTTAGAAGGACATTTTCCGTGCCCAGATATTTCCCTTATGACATGGTTTGTTTTGCTTGTGTCTGTTCACATATTAGATGGCTTAAACCATATAAAAAAGGCTTTGTCCTCCTGGGAGGAGTTTATTCTTGCTTTTTGATGCATGAGTCTGATAAAACTGAAAAGAAATGGACAGGAATTTGCCACACGTATTAAAATATAAATGGTGAATTAAATCTATGAAAAGGGATTTCAATTGCATCCATTGTCAGTACAAGCAATTCTGTTCATTTACAGGAGATGTTTTATTACAAGTAGCAGAATTCCTGGTTAGACCCAATGTTGGAGCTTTATCAACCTGAAAAACATATTTTTCCACTGGCTCCTCTTTCCTGCTTGTAGGAAGATTGCTAATGCTGCAGTCTAAGTGACTGTTCCTTAGTGGGACGCTAAATAGCTTTAAATTATCTAGTGACAACTTCTGTGGGGTAGGACTGCTCTCCTGTTTTGTTTTTGTCTTGTAGCATTTTGTCCATTGACCTCATCTTACCTAGGAAAAGTGAATATATCTCATATAGCCCAAGACAGGGAAACACTTGTGGGAATCAATCTGGTACTGTAAGTAAATGACACCAAAAGTGTTCTGTGCATCATAAGAAATGTATTATCTCTTTTTTTAGGAATTGACCTGGAGAACATTGTTTACTACAAAGATAGCACTCACTATTTTGTGATGACAGCAAAAAAGCAGAGCCTTTTGGACAAAGGAGTGATTATTAATGTAGGTAAAAATGCTGGACAAAAACTTATTTTATTTGCTTGGCACCAAGTAAATGTGCGCATCTGCATAAAAGTCTAGTTCCATGGTACAGAAGGTGTTTACAGACTTGCTGCATGGCTTTGTTAAAGCTCGGATCACTTGGATCTTACTCTGACTTCTCTGCAACGCCTCCAGACAGCACAAAGTTCCTGAGGGGAGCTGAAAATGATACTTCCGAAACTCGTCAGTTCTGAAACTGGCTGAAAAGTGATTTTGTCTCACTCGGGAATTGCACGCTGTTGTCATCACACCACAAAATAAAAGCCTCATTTTTTGAAAGGTTGATCTAACACATTTAGGTCCAGTTTCATCAGGCAAATAAGGAAGTATTAAAATCTCCCCCAGGGTAAAATTCGGAATTCTCCAAAGTGGTTGAAACATGATAGAAGAATGTTGTAAACATGATGGCATAAATTTTTAAAAGTACTCAGGAATGTTTGAGACCCTTTAAAAGACATTCATTTCTTTTTCATCTTTAATATGTGGGCTTTGTGTCTTTTCATTTCTAGAAAGTATTCTGGCACTGTTTAAATTTCTCTCCCTGGAGACCTAGAAAAGATCTTTTCTTTTAACTTGAAAGTGCCAAAATAGCCGGGTACAACTTCCCAAGGGAAGTGCTCGTGGTGAGCTCTTGGAAAGCTCCTCGGCTTGGTGTGCCGGCCCTGATGCCGAGGCCTCTTGGGGTGCCCTGGGGAGGAGATGGGCAGCAGTGGGCACAGACCCTCTGCCACTGCGGGGACATCCCCTCACGGGCTTGAGTCTCGGTGCGCAGGGCGACCCGTCTAAAGACAGCTGTGCTAATAGCAGCTCTTGTGGCCTCATCCCTGCGATCATCTGTGATTAAGCCTTAAATAGAAACTGCTGTATTAATAATCTTGGGTCTTAAGTTGGGTGACCCATCCAGGAAAGGTACTTCACCACACTGGCTAAAAAAGGCAACCCAAAGCAGAGCACCAGAAGAGCTTCCGTGGTCCAAGTTTTGCTGCAGAGGCGCCGAGTCCAATCGTGGGGCTGAGCCTCACGTGTGCTGCGGTGGGCGCGTGCCCGTGGTTCTGCTCCCAGGTGTTTGCAGGAGTGCGGTGTGCTGCAGCGATAACGATGATATCTCTTGATGGGAGGGAAGTCAAGTGATGAAAATAACATGGAGCCAGGCTGTTATCATCTTCTGTTGCAAGCCAGGCTGTTAGTTTAATGTCCATGCAGATCGTTCCGGTTTGGGGTGGCACAATAACTGTGTTTACGTGTCAGCAGCTTTCCTGGGGAGACAGCAGATCTCCCTTGGGTCTTGGTGCCGTGGGATGTTTGCTGTGTTGCTGCTACGCTGCTGCCGTGCAGGACTCACCCTGCACGTTCCTCTCCTTGCAGGACTGTGTCGACACTGAGTTGCTCCTGTGCGGGGAAAACGTGAACCAGAGCAATTTGCTGTCCTATGCCAGAGAAGCTGCTGACTTTGCAACGAATTACCAGCTGCCTTCCTTGGATTTTGCAATTAATCACTATGGGCAACCAGATGTAGCAATGTTTGATTTTACTTCCATGTATGCATCTGAAAATGCGGCGCTGGTGAGAGAGAGGCACCGACACCAGCTCCTGGTGGCACTTGTTGGAGATAGTTTGCTTGAGGTATATCTAGGAAAATCTTTCAAATAGCTCCTTTTTAATCCAGCCATTCTATCTACCCGCCAAAACCAAACTTGGTCTTCACTTACATATCCTGAAACAATGGCACCTTCATTAAAATAGATTGTTTTATGCCCTAGTTGATGTCAGAAATTAATGCTTAGCTGGCAGGCACCGGCTGAGTTCTGTTTTGCTTTATGCAGGTTGTGTTTCTGCCTGAAAACTGAGCTGTGTGTCCTCAGCCTGGGTGCCTGGCATAGCTCTCTTGACTTCAATCGGAAACAAAAGCTTTGTCCAGACTTTCATTCCAGTCCTTCTGCCTTAATATGTTCTCTTTGTGGAAAGTGTGTGTTACAGCTAGTATACTTTTTTATTTGTGTTGACAGCCTAAAGTGTTTGAAAGGACCAGTCCAAATCAAAATTAACAGATGAAAATAGTCATCTCTCCCCCCACCTACACACAGAGGTTTTTACGCTCTCAGCTGATTTCCCAGTACTTTACTTGAAACCTAGATACATTTTTAATGTAGAAATTTAAAAAACGAAACTAAAAAAAAGTCACTACATTTTTTTTCTTCATTACATAAGACTTGGAGAAAGCACTCTAAACATTGCAAGAGTTAGCAATGTTGTATTTGAACTTTTTCTGGGCAACTTTTCCAAGTTGCTGTGGAATCTTCAACTCCAAATGCGCATTGCAAATCACTTTTGTAATAAGTTCTGAAGAAATAACAAGTAATTAAAATGTAAATACTACTTACAGCCATTCTGGCCAATGGGCACTGGCTGCGCGAGAGGCTTCCTTGCTGCTTTCGACACCGCGTGGATGGTGAGGAGCTGGGCTCAGGGAAAACCCCCGCTAGAAATCCTTGCTGAACGGTGAGTGCTGCTTGGTTTTCCCCTTTGTTTTCAGTGTTTTCAGAATTGCACTGCTGGTAGGAGATGCTGCAAGATGTCAATAACAAAAATACTCTGCTCCTTTGCGATACTGGTGTGTTGAAGTTAAGTAAGTATCCTTTCCTGTAGGATACCGAGCAACTTCTGACAATGATGACCTGCAGCCCATTGCTCTCTCTGCTCTGGTGCTGTGACATGGAGATCCAGCCACGTGCACAGCCTGGGTTTAAATCACTGCTAGTAGTGCTAGCTGTGAGCCTCAGAAAAACACCAAGATACCTTGTGTCTAAAGAGTGACCCTCTGATCTTTTCAGCACTTACATTTATTTTAAAAAAATAGAGATTTTCACTGAAAAGTGTAAACAAATATTTTAATATCTGACTAGCTGATATCTGTGATTTTAGCACTGTATTTCAGCTTATAAGCCCCGGCATGGTAAGTGTGTGCAAAGATGATTTGCCGCCCTGCTGAATTGCAGGTTTCCGTGTGCTGTGTGTCTCTGGTCAGAGCACGGCCAGCAGCTCTGGCGAGGCAGCAGTCGGGTGGCCGGGCCCGCTGACTTTGCCTTGACACTTGCCCTGCTCCGTGCCGGCCGCTCGGCTGCTGTAGGGGCCAGCAGGAGCAGTCATGGTTGCGGTAACGTGAGTAAGAGCACTGCTAAATACAGTGCTCTGAGGAGCCTTAAGATAGGAGCTTGTGGGATGACTCAAACGTAGCACAGACCCAAGTGGAAAATTGAACAGCATCATAAAAAAGGCCATAGTGGTTATGGGAACTGCAGATTGACGGGGTTTAGTGCTGTTATGTGGTAAAGGAGTACTCCTTGGGTGGAGGTTAAAGCAAAACCAGATGATTTTGCATGATGTAATCTCCTTTTTTTTTTTTTTTTTTTCCTTCTTGCTCACTTCCTGCCTCAGGAAAATGTGGGCATCACTGTTAAATGTCTTTGTTATCCATTTTCTATCTGGTATCTTCCTATTGCTGAGTGAGATGCAATATGCGGATGCAATGTGCGTTAATGCATAATACTTGTCCTGGTAGAATCAAGATAAAAGTGACAGGCAAAAATTAAATAATCATTTTCTAAACAATATTTCGTAATTGATATCTCTTGCCTCTTTTTTTTCTCTGCTAGGGAGAGCATTTATCGACTCTTGCCGCAAACTACCCCTGAGAACATTACCAAGAACTTTGAGCAGTATACCATCGACCCAGGAACAAGATACCCGAACTTGAACTCAAGCTGTGTTCGACCTCACCAGGTCAGTACTTAAGAGGCTTGCTTAGGAAAGGATGGTACCTGTTGTTGTTGTTCTGTTTGCTGTTGTCCAGGAGAAACACGACCACAGATAGAAATAGCACATGAACAAAGTCTTCAGGAGCCTCATTGGTTTAGATCCAATTGTTGATAAAGTCAGTCTAGAAAGACTTTTATTTTTCTGCAATTGATTTTAATGTTTTGGTGCAAATTGCTCTTTCTTGTAGGTGAGACACTTATATGTTACTAATGAGTTACAACAATGCCCTCTTGAAAGAGTAAGCTCCATTAGAAGATCGGTGAATCTGTCCAGACGAGGTATGTGATGTCTCATGTCTGCTGCCACTTAATATTGGGAGCTTTTTGAGCACACAAAACCTGACTGAAGTGTTTGCTCTCTACGTGACTGCAGAGTCCGATACGCGACCTAACAAGCTTTTGACGTGGTGTCAGAAGCAGACGGAAGGGTACCGCAACGTGAA